GTCACTGGACCATTTTGTGCTAAAGAAGAAAATAAATTGACATTGAAAACAGAGGGACGGTGCTGCAGTACGTACACATGAAGTATGTGAAAACCAAATACGTGAAATGATTGCTTTCAAGACCATAAAATCCCTGACAGATAGAGGAAATGATATAACACAGTGAGGTGAATATTTATATCCTTAATCTCAAAATGTAAACAGTTCTTCAAATCAGCAAGTATAAGAACATGCTACCATAAGCAAAGGACAAACAATTAGTAAAAGAAGAAATACAGACATCCCGATCCTGCCTTAGTCCTCCTGAGGCCACTTACCTGCCTCAGGTGTGTCTGAAGACAGAGGTAGTGGCGGAGGGGGTGGGGGCAGGGGTCCGGAGGCGGTGGTCCCGGCAGCTGGCCCCGCACTACCCACTCCGGCTTCTGACCCCGAGGCCAGTGTGCCAGCAGCCACGACCGGCAGTATGGCGAAGTCCCCGTCCCCTCTCTTCTGGATTTTAATGGTGCCTTGTTTCTCCAGTTCATGGATCTTTTTTTCCAGGGTAGACTGTCTCTGAATGGCTTCTTCTTTTTCTTTGACCATTTTTCTTAATGTGTGAACTTGGGTATTTGCATCTTTGTAGATTTCCTGGAAAAAGAGTCCACAGTCAGGAGTTTGTCTTCATATGACACTCACTCGTCTGACCCTGATGAAACATTCCTCACACCCCTAGACTGATGAACTAAGGATAAAGGATACCCACATAAACAGGAACTCTATGAAACTCAGCCAGAACCTACACAGTCCCAATAATTATTCATTATAGTAGTAATGCACGCAATATACCCTAGTAAATTGTTGCTGTTAATAAAAGTCCTTTCCATTTACTAAATGCTGCTAACTCAATTTTCCCTGCAGATGGAAAGGAACAGAGCAGAAATGACTTTTATTCCCAAAAGCTGACTTTGAAATATCCTGAGGGTGTTCTGGTGGTGGAGCATGTTTTCCTTGCACTTATTTTAAAATTCATTTGTAACTCCTAGATACACATATCAGCTAACAATAGACAAAGGAACCCTGAATCAGACTTGGATAGAAAACAGAGGAGGATTAAAAAATCTGCAAAGCAAGGAATAACCTGTCCATGAGCACCAGGGACTTTCTGTCCTCAAATGGATTTCTCTGGCCCTCACAATGCCCGCTGACCAACTTCAGGGCAGTGACTGTTGTAACATTTTCCCCTTGGTAAAGCAGTTAACAAAAAAGGTCAAAGCTGCCGTCCACTAATTACTTATTTTTGTCTAGGTGTTACACAGAAAAGAAAGAAGTTACAATTTCCAATTCAAAAGGCTGCCCTGGTTCCTTTATCAGGTGCCCACGGGCTCTAGTGAAAGCACTTTCATGGAACTGAGCTTACTCGCTGGGCCTTGCACACGTGATCTCTCACCACAAACCTCCAGCAGGCAGGGAAACATTCCTCACACCCTGTCTATTATTAATACTCTGAGACTCGGAACTTGAATTGAGTCCATATGCTACAACTGTGGCTCGATGGTGTGCCAGAAAATAAATTTCCTAGAGTTAACCGGAGGATGTGTCAGGATATCAAGCAACACATGCAGACACGATAACCATCACATAAAATCTGCCACTGCATTAGCGGTGGCATAACGGTGAGCCAGGCGTGTTGGTGTTTTTATGTTCTGCACAATTCCAGCCACAGGGATGGCACCCCGTAAGTACCTGACATGTACGGTAAAACACTAAGGCCAAATAAAATAACTGGGATTATCTGATAATAAAATGGATTGGTTTGGCTTTGGTTTTTTCTCCCCCCCCCCCCCGGGTGAATGCCATTAGGCCTAGCTTATGCTGTAATTTCAGTTTCCACAGCAACCACCAAATCTGGTTTTGAGTAGAAGCAAAGCAAAGAAATACAATGAAGACCAGTCCCAATAAAAACAAATAATTGGCATGAATTAAATCCATACTGTGTTTTTACTTCCAACAAAATGGGTGACCCACAGAATCAGATCAGCCTCCTCCAGATAAGAAAATACTGCTGCTCCCAAAATCTGTGATAAGGAGACACTGAACGCCGGTATCTGACCACACGCGCACACACACACAGCTCAGCTGTGCACCGTTCGCACGAGTATCACATCTGAAATGCTTCCCACGAACACGCAGCACCAGCCCGCTCCTCGGAAACAAGTGTGCCCACATTCACAGCGGCCGGAGACGGGCACACGCCCTGCATCCCGTCCGGGTGGCCGCCTCCACACACTTACTCGGACCACGTCCAGTTCCTTGTTCCTCTGCATGAGCTGCTTCTCCAGCTCCACAATCTTGGACATGGCTTCATTCTCTGTGTCTTGAAGCTTTTCAGATAACTGTGAAGTTTGAAAAGTAAGTTGTGTCAGACCCAGTCCTTGGTCCACAGAAAGTGCAGCTGCAAGATCACTGGGGCCCGTGGGAAGCCCTGCATGTATTCCACAAGGTCTGTTCTGGAAAGGGTAATGTGCTGTGAATACGTATTTGTTTCTACCAGGAATGGCTAATTCTTACACGATCCTTAATAAGACATCAGCTCCTTCGTGCATGTCTCCCTCCATTCCTTCAGGACTAGCCATGGTAGAGAAGAGTGAGGTGAAGGAGGAAGGGTGGCCCGTCTCTCCATCCAGACTACGCAGATACTAAAAGCTGTTTGGAGGGGCGCTTCAAGTGGCTTGCCACAAATGTGAGTAGTAAGTACGATCATGCTGTGCTGAGCAGCTTCGGGAGAGACAGGGCCAACCATGTGGGAAAGCACTGCTTTCTGCCTGCTTTCCAGGGACTGTCTCCCCTCTGCACGCCTCCCTGCCCTCGATCCAGCTCCGGGCTGAGCCCTCCACGGACTGTGACCTAAAACCAACCTTTCCCCCCTTAGCTTGTGAGTGTCGGATGCTCTCTCCCGGCAACGAGGGAGTGACTGACACGAGCAATTCACTTCACAGTCAAGGAAAGTGCCAATCAATTCGTGAAATGAATCAGTCCTCATAACGCTTGCGTTTTTCTACTCATCCTTTCAATACTGAAATACTTCTTTAATGAATGGATAAATGGACAACCTTCTGAAAGCCTTCAGACTTCTATCTGCGCTAACGTATGGCAAGAACATCTCTCAAAGAAAACTGAGTCCTGGGCCGGCATCGAGTTGACCTTATAGAAGACATCTGAGAAAGCTCCCTGCTTCCCTCAAAAATGTCTACTGTTGAGTCTAAGAGAATTTCGTAATTATAAAAGAGGAATGTTCTGAAACGTATCACAGAGACACAGGCTAGGGATATACACAGGACTGTGTCTCTTCTGAGAGGCAGTGGCTCACATTCAGAAAACACTTCCACATCTCAGGCCAAACTCTCCTTCATTTCACTCCAGGCAGGGCAGCTCCCTCTAGGTAATGCGGGTCACCACTCGCCCAGGCCTGTGACTAAGACCAGCAGAACCACTTCAGAGCTGCAGCCCGTTCCTAGACTTTAACTCTTTTACTACCACACAAGCTAACGCTAATTATGCTTTGCACCAAGCTGAAAGGTAAGCAATTTTTCTCTCTCAGCGATATAGTTACATGAGAGATGTTCTCTTCCAGCTCTTCCACCCTCTCCAAGGCGGCATTCTTGGTTTCTGCGTCTTCCAGCAGTGCTCCTACATCGAACACATTGTCCAGGTAAGCCTGAATCTGCACCTGCAGCTTGTCGCTTTCTGTGTGTTTCAGCTTCTAAAAACCAGAGTTACAGAAAAGGCAGTGTTAATTCATCTGTGGGAACGGAATGTAGTTACCCAACAGTCTGTAAGTTTTGTTTGTTCCAAAGACTCCAGCTTCTCCAAGAAGGTTTAACACGGTGTCCAATCTTTTGGCTTACCCAGCCGCACTGACTGAAGAAGAGTTGTCTTGCGCCGTATATACAGTGAATAATATAATTACTGTATATATGCAGCAAAACTTCCTTTTTTATGTTTATACGTATTAAACTATTTTACAAGACAACACAAGCTGAAGTTTAACCAATAAATAGGAAAACTCACATCTTTGCTTAGTAATAAATGCCTATTTTCACAGACACATGTGTGCAGATTGTAATACTATTATGGGTAACCACTACATTTTACTCCCCAAGTCGTACAAGCACATGTAACATGTGACACACATGTGTTTCCATTTGCCAGATCTGTGTAGGGTCCTTCTAACCCTGCATAGTTATACTGTATTCTAAAACATTTTGATTTAGATGAAACCAGGGCAACAGTAAATTCAAAAGCAGTTTTGGAAAGGACAGTCCCGGGACACATAAAGCTGGACGGTGTCTGGGTAGTACAGCGGACTGGTGTGGTGGTGTCTTGCTTGAGCAGCGACGGCGCTTCCAATGGGGGCCAGGGGGCGGACAGGTGACGAGAGTTCAACGGCAGGGACATGGACGATGGCAGAGTTTACATTCAGTCCCTAGGTTTGTTCAGTACAAGATTCCTCCCCCAGGGCAGTGTCCTGTGTGAACGCTCAGGGCCGCCCCAAGCACGTACCAGCAAGCTTTGCCCAGTCCCGTGCCCCAGATGAGGCACACGGAAGGAAACCAGCTAGCTCCGAGGCGAGCTGAGCACCCGAGGACATCAGTCACTCTTCCCTCCAGGAAACACAGAGTGTGACTTCCCGGGGACTAATGAGCTAACAAGCAGATGGTGCTAATAAATATTTACTAAAGATCAGTGACTCCGTGCAAGGCTGCTTTTGTGAACGAACAGTTACACACACTTACAGCATCACGCTTCAAACTGCCTCTACCAGGACACAGAGCCGACGTACCAAAAAAGTTAGAGAACTTTGTGAAATCTTAAGTTTTTAACAGGAACTTTGCTTTGTGTAAATTCTCAGGGCAGTGCGCTCTCTAATCTAGGGCCAACCTGAAATTCTAAAACTCGGCTCGTTCTAAAGAGTATATGCTCCATCTCAGTTTAGGGGTCAGCCTGGAAAACATTTCTGAATAAGGGCAAAGGCTAGAAAAGAAAATGGAAAAGAAGCTTCATGGGACTTTTCACAAGATTCACTACATATATAAAATGTTTATTAAGTTATTTATTTATTTAATTATTGGTCGAGACAGGGTCTCGCTATGCAGTTCAGGCTGGCCTTGAGCTCACTTTGTAGCCCAGGCTGGTCTCAAACTCGCAATGATCCTCCTGCCTCAGTCTCCCGAGTGCTGGGATTACAGGTGTACGCCACCACACCAGGCCTAAGATTTACAATAAGTAACTGGTGCTAATTAATTATAGTACTACCTATCATTATAACCTGGAGCCTAAAGCAAGACATCATATCTCTGAACCCTCAACACCTTTAGGAATCTATGTACTCAAGTACTGTTAAAATACAGAGGGTACAAATGTGGAAAGAGAGCAGACCTCAAACCCAAAGGTAGGGGGGCTTTGATGACATCTGTAGGTCTTAAAATAAAGAGGAAGATCATTCTCCCAACGACTTTCTAACAGAACCCAGGACAGATCTCCCTGAGTAAATTCTGCAGCTATCCGGCCCGTCTACTATCGGACACCGGCTGGGGTGGGAGGGAGGCCGACACAGCCCGCTCTGACTCTGCCCCCACCAGGTGAGGGTGCAGTGCACATGACCCCCGGCTCCACACCCACTGAGGATGGGCAGCTGAACTCGAGGTGCCCATGGGAAGGGACTCTCTGTCTTCATAGCTAAAAATAGCCTTGAAATGGAGATGAGCAATTCCTGCCCTACCATTAGTGGACTTCCAAATTTAACTGGGCCAGTTCTATAGGAAAGGAAAACAAAAACTGCCTAAAAGTCAAAGACCAGGCAGACATCCTGTCATCACCAGATGTGCCCACTGCACTGGGATCCAGAATCATGAACCAAAATGGACCCCTCTTCTTTATTTAAAGAAGGGAGGGGTGGAGCCCTTGCTCTTAGGACTGCACAAGCCCCTTACGATCCTCGCATCACTTTCTGCTTCGGAACTGAAGACCTTCAGGGAGCTGTGGAGAACTTCCACAAGGGAGCCTGAAAAAGAAACACTGAACTCCACTCTCCAAAGCCCTGAAAGTGGAACTTCCGAAGCCACGAACACTCAAGCAGAACTGAACAGCTCCAGGGGGAAGTCTCTGGTGCCCACTTCCCCACCTCGTTTTTACGCACTAAACATTTGCCATCACGCTACTGCCGACTTGGTTTGACGTTCCCTGCCCAGATGGGGTCCCCAGAGTCACCAAGAATGTAAATCGTGCTGCAGCGTGGATGAGGGACACAACGAGACTTGACAGGACAGAGCTCGAAAGCAGAGGCAGGCTGAGCAAGGCTGTAAGAGGTTATCTGACTCCTGGACGGCAGAAATCCCAGGCGGTCAGCAGGAATTCAGCTTCTCTGGCAGACGGAGCACTCAGGAAGTTCCCTCTAACCAGCTCGACAACAGCGGACCGCACTGAGCGTCGAGCCATCTGTAGCCACGCTAGAAGTGAACCTTGCAGGGCACGTAGTGAATCAGTACTGATGCTGAAGCCGAAGCGCACAGCCGTACTTACGTCCAGGTATTCGTCCAGGCCTAACTTGGTAAATTCATACTGGAGGTGAACTCGGAAGTTCATGTCTTCCACTGAGTGGACCACAATATTAATGAACTGCATAGAGGCCACCTGAAATGACATCCCCAAGAAGTCAGACGGGCTCCAATCTTTTTTAAATCAGTTTAATCATAGACATATGCTCTTAATTTCAGAAATCTAGGCGTACTTACCAATGTTATTGCCTTCATTTGTTATAATTTTTAAATTAAAAAATTCATAAAAGTGTCTCCAAAAGACACAAGCTCACATCCACCTCAATGGCTATGATTAAAAAGAAATACAATAAAAAATGCTGGCAAAGAAGTAGAGAAAGTCCCACTGCTCGCGGGAATGTAAAATGATGCAGCCACTTTGCAAAATATGACACTTCCACAAAATGCCAGCATCACACACAGCTTAGCAAGCCCTGGCTAAGAGAAACGAACATACATGTCCACATAAAAGTTCTATACACATGATTATTCGTAACCCCAAAATGTGAGAAGAACTCAGGGTCCACCTTCTGAGGGATAAAACATGGAACATTTATATAATGTCACATGGTACAGTACAAAGAAATGCAGTATTTAAACACTAAGGTACAGCATAGATGAACTTGAGAACAGCCAGTCCAAATAAACATCACATATTCTGAGTCCATTCATACAAAACGCCCAGAACGGGCTGAGCGACCGAGGTGGAAAGCGGGTCAGCGGCCGCCTTGGGCTGGGGCTTGGTAAATGTGCAGTGACAGCTGGGGGAAGCAAGGAGGGTGGGAGAAGCCTCTACACCGCGCTGTGGCAGGCACTGCTCACCCTGTGAACTCATCACATACACAGTGACCCAGACACTTCTAGTAGGCACAGTGCATGGTGTGCTAATCGACCGTCAATAGGGCTATTCCAAACACGTCACACAGATTTACAGACAGCACACTGGGTAAATTACTGCAAGCATTACATGTCATATAAAATATGGAAGTTATTACAGAGAATAGCCCCACCGTAATATAGTCACTTCCAAAACTTCACTGGGAGCTCAATCCCACCCATAGGACACTAGTAAGTCTCTGACCCATCTTTCCATGCAAACAATCAGTTTCCATTCAATAAAAGCTTTGGATTGATTATTTTGCCCAGACAATGGCATCAGTAGCCCTGAGACCTGTCCCAGAGATACCGACCCCGGTTTGGCACGTAAAAGGAGGGCTCAGCTGGACGTGGGGGTGCGTGACCGTGACGTCAGCCTCAGGAGGGAGAGGCAGAGGGCTGCGCTGAGTTTGAGGACAGTCTGAGTTGCACAGTGAGACCCTGTCTCAAGAAATAAGGAAACAACACCAAAACCAAAGCACCAGTGACGCATCTGCCTCACCCGTGCCACTCCGCACGCCCTGTGCACACTTTCCCTCTGGCTGCGGCGCGGCACGGGCTCCAGCACACAGCTGCAGGGCCTCAGTGCGTGACTTTTCCACGAACCACATCGCTCTTCCTCTCTTTCCTTGCACTTTCAAAAGCGGCTTTCACTGAGCTGATTCTTTTCTGAATATGTTACACTGGGTATCTGTGGAAGACGTGTGAACTTTCTAGGTGACAAGGGGCTCTACTGAAATTCACTAGTAAGTTATTTCAGGTTATAGAGTTAAATGCACATAAACACGGTACCAGGTTTTGTTTGCTTTTGCCCACAGAAGTACAGAACAAGGCCTCACGCTGCACTAGAAGAACTCGTAACTATGAAGAATATGCCGTCTGGGAACAACAGATCACTGGCAATCTAAGTGCGCTTGCGGAAGTGCCTTCCCAGGCAATTCATAAAGGGCTCATTTTCTGGAGGTGAGACCTGGCTCACTTCTGGCATCGCTCCATTTCCCTGGCAAAGCAGGCCGCACTGACCTGCTGGGATGTGTGGAATGCTGAGGGAGCGGCTGCCGAGGTGAGCCCCGAGTCCAGCGCAAGCACCTGTGACCGGGCACTTGGTGCCCGCACATGCGAGCCAGAGCACTGGCAGGACCGGCGCTGGGCCATGCTGGGGCGGGTGTCCTGATAATCTGACAGTGTTTCTAAAAATTCGCATTTTTTATAAAGTCAGCAGAAACTCAAGTGACAGAGAAGCTCACAGATACCACAGATGAATGGTCTACATGCAGTGCAGAGGGAACGACGCGGACTGTGACAAACCGGAGATATCGTTAGAGGAGAAGCCCAGGGCTGGGGCCTCTACCAGCGCATGCCTCTGCCGTGACAATTTGCAGGCAAAAGCCTAATGTCATCAAATACTTCTAATTTTTTAAAAAAAAAGACATATATTTTTATGGACCATACTCAAAAAAAAATTTTTTTTAAACTATCATTGTCCAAATAAACTCATAGCCCTGCAGACTGGCGTCAGCCTGGGGACTTCCTGCGTGCAAATTCAACTCTCTCAGAACAAACAACATCTCCAAACGAGGCACAGGAAAGAAACGGGTAATACGAGACAAGGGATGGACCTCTTTATGTATTTATCACCAGGGTCACAAGTAGCCTCAACTCCCCCAAAAATTCCAAAAACAAGAATTAAAAAGTCAGTGTAAAAGTAACCTCTCACATTCACTTTTACCTTTTTTGAAAGCAACTAACTTGGTATAAAAAAAAAAAAAAAAAAAAAAAATGCTTCTTTGAAAAGGACTGCATTCTTTCTCACTGATTTTGAAAGAGGCTAAAGGCTAGGATACATTTAAAATTTTAGTTCCCTACCAGGTGTGGTGGTGCACATCTATAATCCCAGCACTCAGGAGGCTGAGGCAAGAGGATCAACACAAGTTCAAGGGCAATCTGAAGTGCACAGTAAGACCCAGAAAAAAATTTTCACTTTGAAGGCCTAGATCTTTGAAAAGCAGAGTCATGCTTTATAGTCACTGAAACAATTCAACTTAAACCTTTACCTGGCACCCTAAGCACTGCCTCTGCAAGGTAAAAACCATGTGGGATACCTACTCCAGCCAGAAGTAATCTGAGAGATTAAACCCAGGTAAGGATCTACAGCAACTGGATTAGGTCAAAGCCTAAAGATCTGGGTGCACTCAGAAGTAAGGTGTCTCAGGAAAATTCCTTCTTTGGATCTAAGATGTGGGTGTGTGAATTCAGAAGTGCTGAAGCTTATTCTGCTGCTGTTCTACCCGAGTCCGAAGAAGGACTTCTGTGGAGCCGTATGCGGAACTCTAACTTGCGGAGAAGAGCTCCAGTGCGGTTACGCCCTCCCAGAGTTACTCAAGCAGCGAGGAGATCAGAGGGGAAGAGTCACAGCTGCACGTGAACCTCGGGGAGAGCACAGTCCATTCCAAGCAAAGCGCTCTGCAGCAGGAATGCACAGTGGGGAAGGGCACTGCTGGGCCCGCAGGAGTCAGGCAAAACGGTTTCTTCTACTTCAAGGGTTCGTACACTGCACTACTGGCAGCTAAAGTGAGCGATCACAGGCGCTTGCAGAAGGCCTCAACTCCTTTTTACAACTGCGGGATTTCTCCCTTTATTTGCTACCTTAAAATAAACATATATATATACATATATATCTCACATCCCTACTTTTGGCCTTTACTGCGTGTGGGTGAAATGAATAGAACTGTAACTAAATGCCATAAAGGAAAAGTACAGGTGAAAAGGGGCACTTCAGAAAGGATCTACAGCATATGGAACTCCATTTCCTGTCCTTCGCACGTTTCTGTGCGTGTGCAAATGCACACAGATTTAGGGGAGAAGTGCTGAAACTGAGTATGCTTCATTGAATGTAGTACTAAAATAACTCACCATAAAATCTATGTTATTGTCTTCATTCCTGAAATGCTCCATCAGCTTCTCAAAGCGCTGTTTTTCTCCACAAACCTGAAACATACATTTTTCCTATGATGTAACGTTCCAAACATAAGCATTCCAAAATTAGACACAGAAACTTCAGCATTAATAATTATTTCCAGAGTGCTTCCCCCCCATACACTACTTACTCCTCCTCAAAGCTCATTAACGTACAACAGGCACATAAATCAGGCCCCAAAGCGGATCCCTGGTTTCTTTTTCATATTCTCTTGATATTTTGAAATCTGTATCAAATGTGTTTTCTTTTACTGGTTGTCTTTGCAAATCTATCAGTTTTTAGCATGCATTCAGAATCCAAGAATATAGACCATAGTTTAAAAAACTGACTAAAATTTCCCTTTTAACCAAAGTACTCTTAAGACAGACATATTAAAATATTTGAATAATTTAGTATTTAAAATCCTTGAAAGGCATATTTGATATGTTAATATGTCTAACTAAAGCAAACAATTTTATTGCATGAATTACAACATACAAACAGACACTCTGGTAAGCTATTTTTAGCCCACATAAGGTGAGTATAGAAATTTACAATGATTTGGGAAGTGGCTTCCCAGAGGTCTGAAACATATGTATTCACGTCAGTTTAATAGGTGAATACACAGATAGAATACTGGGAAACCCGGGAATCCAAGTTATATTCACACACATGGGACTAAATACGTAGAGCTAAAAATACAGAATCAAAGGAAGATTTGTGCCAAATAATAATCTGGAGGCTTATTCCCAAAAATCAAAGGAAGAGCTTTAATTCTGTCCCCTTTTTTGAAGCAAAATGCTGCACTTGTTTATTTCCTCTTTCAGAAAATACTTACAAGAACCAATAAGAACACAGTCTCTGGTTTTACAAATTTAATCTAGGTCTCACGTGCTAAGCTGAATTTTCTGATTGCATTTTTGATCTGAAGGATCCCCGAGCAATCGTCAAGAATTCTAAAACAGTATTTCATAATGCTATACTATAACCATTTAACTGAGTCGTGTTAAGTTCCACATGAACATATATAAATATATAGATATCGGTGAAGAGAAAGTCCCACCAAGGCAAGAATTTTGTGCTTTATTCACCACCATACGGACAACGTTCTTCATCGATGCTTAGCACAGGACAAACTGTATTTGTTGAACTGCACAGACTACGAGATAAAGGCTAAAATGGACCTCACAAAAGGGTGAAAAACTTACTGCTCTTCGTCCCCATGTTTTACAGTGAATAAAGAATCATCAGACCACTGTGAAAGAAGCACCAGAAGTAAATCTTTAGTGGTAGCTCCTGGGCCGGAAGCCTAGGCTGGGAATGTCGAGGTCAGCAGGCTTCGATTGCCGAGGCTTCTACTTGTACATGACTGAGTACTTCCAACACAATCAGGCCAAATGATTATGCCCCAGTTACGACCCCGCCTTAACAAAAAACGGTTTCAGAAGGCAGAGAAGCGGGGCATGACGGCCCAGGCTGCGGGAGGCGGGCGAGGCACTGAAGGGGGCCGAAAGTCAAGCCTCTGAAAACACACTGCCCAGCCCCGACCTAGCAGGTCTCACTCAACAGCCCTGCCAGGAGCTTGGTGACGCTGAAATGCACAACTTTAGAAGCACTATGGTTCATCTCAATGCTGCAGATGTAGAATGTTCTGCCACCATGCCTCAGTGGACCCTCTAGAAAACATACGGCAAGTTCTTGGAAACAGAAGGCCTTGGAAACTGAAAGCAGTTAGACGGTACAGGCCTGCTCCCTAGACTGTGACACCAGCCACACTGTATCCAAAGACACAACTGTCCCTCACCTGCAGAGAGCCCAGGGCGAGCACTGCCGAGGCCTGGCACAGGAAGGGTCAGAACGACAGCCTAGACTTTCTTTCGCGGACACCACAGCCTACGAGCGCGATTCCCAGGAGAATCGCTTACTTCCAACTTATTTTGGGAGATTAGGGATGGCAGGAAAAGAAAAAGAAGACGGGCTGCCCCGGTCTGACGCGCTAACTCCGCCGAGAGGTGGACTATGACTCATGTCCTGTTGCGCGAAGCGGCACTCACTAAACCGGAAGAGTCAACGACCACCAATGAACGGTGACGACCAACACGATTTCCAGGACAGAGCCATTCAGATCCAGGAACGTCAGGAAGCTGGGCCATCTGATCCAGCTTGACCCTTGGCTCATCTGATGCCCTCAGTTTACGAAAGGGACTGATACTCCGAGAGCTCAAACATCCCCAACCTGATAGAAGGTCAACACAGAATGGGCAGAACCAAGGCCAGCACCAGGTCCCCAACAGTCCGCCCGACAATCCCACTCCCACGGCCCAGAATGCTCAGAGAAACGTATCACTTCTGAGACGATACTCAGCCCCACTTGGGAATTATCAGAGACAACAGAGATGAAGAACGCAATTACTAAAAATTGCAATCACGTCAAAGTGCACGTAATACCCGACACCTGCGTACCAGAATCTTTTACAGACCTTCCAAACTCAGCAGATTCCTGAGTCTAAGTCGAGACACACGAGATGAGAACACCCGAGTCGCCCCAAAGGGACTAGGAATCTGGACGTTCGAAAGGGCCTCCTTGGTTTCTGGGCCAGCGCTTGGCAACCAGTAGCTCATGTAATACTGAACTGATTCGATCCTTGGACTTTCTGCATTTTGGCGGGGAGGGGCAGAGTCTCACTCTGTAATTCAGGCTGGCCTTGAACTCACTATGAACCCAGGCTGGCTTCACTCCTGTCAATCCTCCTGCCTCAGCCTCCCGCCCACTGGGATTAACCACCACATCTAGCTGATTCTCAGCGCCGCTGACAACGAACTGTAAACCACAGCGGTAAACCATTAATTCTCCAGTTCATTCAACTTCCAACTAAGCAACAGAATCATGAACCGTAAGTTACTACACCTAGGTATCACAGGCATGCAGCAGAAACTGGCCCTCCTCCCCGGCACAGATACAGAGAGTAACAAGGTAACTCACAAATAATCATGGACTGCATCCAGCGTATTTAAAAACTGGATTTTCTATGGGTGGGGAAAGCACGTGTAGCCTGCAACAAAGCCAACACCCCGCTAATACACAGAGGCGACACCACATCCAGAACAAGGGATACGAAATTAATTTCACAGTAGGTGAACATCCCGAAGAACACCGGAGCAGCCTCGCAGACAGGACGGAAACAGACGCACAGCTGAGCTCTGAATGCGCCTCTCTCTCGAAATACCCCATTCCATCAGGAGATAAATCCACGCCGAGAACACGCACATTATGAAAAGGAGAAACTCCTTTCATCTCTAGACTCCACAGTCATGGACCTAAGTGTCTTCCTCTTTAATAGCTGCTATAAACTTGGTGAAAATTCACACACACAACATGACACGTGGCCAACACACATGCCAGGGTGGGGAAACCATGAAGCCATCTGAGTGACGCTGACGCTATGGGCCCCCCTGAGCTCCTCTGCACAAAGGCGGAGGCTGCCCCTTGCCCACCCTAACTAGTGAGTTTGGAGCAGTATCTGCTGACATTCTCTCGGAACAGCCTGAGTTTCAGGACCCGCTTCATTTATGCTGAGGACAGGAAGCGTGCAAACCAGACCCAAATTTGTCTCCATGTGACTTTAGCAATCATTACACAAGCGCAGACTACGATCCCACAGGAAATGGGAGGATCTGTTTGGGAAAGGTTGGTAACACTCGTGTCCCACATCAAAGGCAAGTCGTCTGAGCTCACACTGCTCACATCTGGACCAGCCCACACCCTTGGTGCACACAGGACCGTCATGGTTGAATGAACTCCTCTGAACTGGGCTCCTTTCAGAAACTTGGTGAGGATGAAAGAAAAAGACTATTTCTAGCTATTTTTAGACGCCTCACACTGGCCTTCACGAGAATGCTCTCTAGGGCCTCATCAAAACATATGTAAGAGCTGCAAGTTACATAGTGCCGCATAGAACTTCCATCTGCCAACAAAACCTGGACGATACAGAGTGCAGAAACTTTTAAATGAAAAAGTTGGACTGCTGCAGGGAAACCTGTGCTTCTTGACTCTCAGATTCTCAGGTGCTCCCCCCACAGCATCAACGTCAATTTTCTATATACGTAATAGGAGCTGGGTGGGGAGCAAGTTTAAGAGCTATGGAAAGAGAAAGACCATCAGAGCAGACTGGAAAGGAGTCCTTTTGTACGTTACACATCTCTTTTAGGAATGGGACTTGCAATGTTAACAGCCAGGGCTACCAGAAATCAGGTCAACAGCAGAGAGACAGAAGTATACGCCATGCAAAAGCAGGGCTCTACTGTAAACCAAGAGGTATCCTCATAAGAAATCACTTAAAGTCAGTCTCCTGTGAATGAGTTTGCTGTCCCTGATCAACACTGCACAAAGTACACACACTCAGGACCCAGCCCTGAGCCATAAACCTCCGTGTGCTAACACAGCCCCCGGCCTGCCCACCCCTCTGGGGTCCCGCCTAACACAACGGCCCTCTCTGCACGCTTAAACCCTGACACTGCTGGGGGTGAGGGGCTCTGCGGGCAGAAGTGGGGCCAGGCGGCCCACCAAACGCTATCACAGGAGCGAGGTCGTAACTCAGGGTCTGCCCGGACCTGCTATTAGTTTGGACAGAAAACTTCACTTTCACATTCGTAATCCGGCAAGCCTTAGCTACATTGCTGGTTTTCAGGTGGGACTACCGAGGGGTAAGGGAACAGGCATGTTAAGGGTTACTGAGCTTTGGTGCTTCCAGGAATTGAGGGTTTGGCAGGGAAAGTACCAATGGCACTTTTGAGAGATGTTCTCTCTCCTCACAGGACCCAAATCCACCTTACTGTACAGAGTCGCCTACTGAGAGTTCTTAGCGTAGGGGAGGGTAGATTTCACTGCTAATAAAAGTTTGAAAAACATCTCAGTATCCTGAAGCTCTAAATTCTAATCTAGCATGCCCGTGTGACACGGCATTCGCAAGTGACCAGCACGGGACTTCACACCAAAACCTCAAAGACGTCCACTTGGCTGTAGGACGCTGAG